GTCTTCGGTGACGGCAGTCTTACGAGACTTGGTTCGAATCCTCGTTTCATTTCGTGATATTTTCAGAGAGGACCAAACGAAACTCTTACTCTGAGATTTTATTGTCAGTGAGAGCGGTGGAAATATGGTCGTCTATGGTGTTTAACTTTGCATCGGCTAGGATCCTGATCTCGTCGTGTTTCAATGCCTTACGATGCAGCCTGCGTGACACAAACTTAAAGATCATTCCAGCAAACCCTGAGACCCCAGCTGTTATTTCGATGCCTAGCACTGCGGGTGCGGCTACGATGGTGCAATTAACAACCCCACACCTACAGCCCCTAACCCCATGCTGGTTGCCATTAGGGTGGTATAGGCCCCGGCCACGACATTGAAAGCTCTATGGTACTTCTTGTACAATGCTGCGCCCGTCTGTCGCGGTCTTGTTCTAGTTGATTTTTATGTCGCATAACTGTCTCAAGCGGAACCCGTCTACGGTTTCCAGTGTCTTCGCGACTTCCTCTACGACTGGGTACAGACCCATTCTGTGTGCATATAATATATCTTATGAGATATTTTCTAATTGGGCTTTATTTAATAGGCGATCAATGTACTTGAGGCTTATAAGGTTTAGATTCTCGCATAGGAAGATACGGGAAAGGTCAATAGGTAACTTCTGGTCTATACTAACCCACGGGAGTTCTATTGAGGGGAGCAGTAATCTCAGTGAGGGGTCCGAGCTCCGTCGTATGATGATACTGCAACGCATGGGGCTTCGCATTACGGTGTCGTCCCAATGTACTGTCACCCCAGGTAAAAGTTGCAGGCCTGAACCCTTAATAACGCCCCCAAGAGCGACTTCTATGATGAGTGTGGAGCCTGGTGCCATAGTCATAAGACCTGATAGGGTATCGGGTGAGTCGGCCCTTAACTCTGACTCCATGGATGAAACTAACATGTTGCCCGGGTGACCTTGTATTTGGGAAACTATCACCTTCATAACTCGGAATGTAAGGCGTGAGGATGAAGCCGTGTTTCCTAATTTCGGTGACATTTCTACGTTCGTTTAAAGAGATGTAAGGTGCGCTGAGTCAAGAAGACACTCATCTGTTATCACTGACTCAGATAACAAAATTCTATCCATGATGTTGTAGCTGTATCTCATGTACGCTTTTTTAATTAATGACATTAGTGAATATGAATTTAGGCAAAACTGCAGGAATCACAGAGATGTTACTCTACACGTTTCATGGGAGTGGTCTGAAGGTCCAAGTGTTAAAACATTCACTCGTCATGCCGAAGACCTGGGTCTGATTCCCCACATGGTTACAATGTGTGAAGCCAATTTGTGGTGTTCACCGCCGTGATATTGTTGGACTATTGCTAAAGCCGGCGTAAAACTCAACTCATTCTTATCACTGTGTCGCAGGACCGCATTGCTCGATTCGGGAGCAGGTTGCAGTTACAGGGCAAACACGTCGAGGTACAGTAGATGGTCAGCACTAACAAGACGGGTCAGAGATAGTAACATGTCAGGTTATAATGTGGCTCATGGCATTTTAACACCTAATTTAGTATCATTCAGTGATGTCATGGTCTTCTGAATATTCTGGTACATCATAATTGAGGTATGTGATGATGTCTGTTGTCTGTTTTCCATCTGATACGAAACTGAAGATGACCAACAGGAACTGAATTGCTAGTATTTTAGTACTATTGTACTAAATTAACATGGAATGTACGAAAGGGAATAACCAATAACGTGTTGTTTGACACGTAACTTCCTAGTTCAAGTATGAAATCGAAAAGGCGCCGGCCAAGAACGTGCAAATCATGATGAAAACGCTCCTAAAATTGCGTGTTTGAATAAATGTTAATGTTCGTTTAAGTCATCAACTAATGCTCGACGTTGGAGGCACAAATTCTGCAGTAAACCACTTTATAATGAACACGCTTATAACGAACTAATGGATATTACGAACTTCTATATTGGTCCCGGCCACTAAATTTAATATTTTAATCTACTGTTTAAAAAAACCTGTCTAAAATAAAACTTGAGTCGAACACACCAGCGACGGACAGCTTGAAAATGGTCCCTGCCTTTAAGACAGAATAACAAACAGTGAGGTGACATATTACCCATGAAGCGTGAAGATCCGGGTTAGAATTGGTCCTCACCAAACCTGTGTTTGTTGTAAGAGGCGACTTATGGGATCGGGTGGTCAGGCTCGCTGACTTGGTTGACACTTGTCATCGCAGCATTCCTATTTCGGGCATCGATGCTCTTGCAAACGACCACTGGACTCGATTATTTACAAACTGTTGGTGGAATATGTCGACTGCGGCGTTAAACAGAAAAGAAACATATCACAAGTACCGGATACATGTACGTCGATAATTAGTCTAACAGTCGTTCCATAAGGAACATTCTACTATGGAACACATTGGGTGGCTAAGGTAGCCGAACCCCACAAACCACCTCTAGAATGTGACAATAAGTTCTGACTTAGTAGTGAATGGGTAGATTATAAACGTACAGTTCAAGACCATCGACGTGTCAACGGCGCCTGGTTTCAGCAAGTGAACGTAATTGGTGACGTCAACGTTGTATTCATTGATCAATCCTGCAACATCAACATAGCCATAACTATGATAGTACAATATTTCTACATCTTGCAGTGAATATCAATAATATGGCTAGTCACGTTGTGGCTGAAATATAGACGATGTGACTGTCACTCACTTAATAATAAGGCCAACAGACAGGCCACTAATTTAGTGTTAGAACTTAGAATCAGTTATCCGAACGAAGAAAGTAAAGGAGCAAAAGGGAAGAGCTTACCCATCATATCCCATATCTTGGCGAGGAAAAAGCTGACATATGTTATTTGTATCCCGCTTCAAAAGGCTGTTCAAAAGGAATCTAATTCCACGAACTTGCTGCAGCTGCGTTCTATCGAGGTGCCTGCAAACGCTCGTTCGGCTGCTCCTAAAGCTTTATTGACATTATTCCTTGTTTAGGAGAACTGGCGATGAATTTCCAATTTTGAACGACGCCATTGTTTTTCAGCTGCACGGCATATCTATTTCTGCTTGCAGGTGTAATCGTTATACCAGCCACCGTGAGGACACATGGCAACAGAACTAGGTATCAGAGGAGCATGCTTATCCAATATCCCTGATGAGCAAGCAGTTAACACACCAGTCTTATCACTGCAGCAGCTCAAAAGATGCAATGCCGTTAGAAAACTGAATAACGTCTATATTTCAAGTCTTCCTGTACCTAATTTCTTTTCTCACTTTCTTGGGTTTAGTGAATTTGACAGAGCACTGAATATGTGAATGATCAGATATCTGTTTGTCACTAACATCGACATCCTGAATATCACAACTATCCTTGGTTATGACTAGGTCTAGTGTATGACCTGATTGATGAGTTGGACCAGACACGTGCTGTAGGATATTGACAGATGTTGGCATGTCAAAGAAAGATATAGCAAAGGAGTGAAATACAGAATTAATATATTGATATCCCCCATTAAAACCAGATGACCTGTTGCAAGGACAGTTTTGACAAGGCATTCAGGAACACTTGTCACATGATTTTAACCTTTATCATACCGGTACTAGATTCCATAGTCAGAAACACATCAACTTTACAGGAGAGTTTTATAACGGCGTGACTAAGAAAATCCAACATTTCATAGTGATATCTCGGACGGTTCCAAAATATAGGCATGTTCCCATAATGGAATATTGGCAGGATAATCATGAAAAATGAAAAAAAACTATACGTTAGTAACACATCTTCTATTTCACTGAAATAAAGTTCACAAAACTTTCCTTAACACACAAATCGCTGATGCGGGAATGTTCCGGGAAGAGCTAGGTAATGAAATATTTGTTAAACAATCACATAAAATAACATACACTAGCTTGTTATTGATTGTTACCTGAACTAATGCAAATGGAATGGGTTTTCTTCGCAAAATTTCAGCTATCAATGAAAATCGGATTTACTTCTATACACTTAAAACAATATTAGATATGTATGTATTTTCGTTGATATGTTTTGCGTTCGGAAAACTAACGTGTATCACATTATCACAATTTAGATTAAAGAAACACAAAACGTATATAAATATCACCAAGATAGGATTACATCTATAATAATATGTGTCAGTGACGGTAACAGATATAATCGTATGCCGCACAGAATAGGCCATGCTATATATATTAAAGACAGTTTAAACATCCCAACATATAATTTATAAATAAAGATTGAAGAAGAAAGTGTTTGTATTCGCGATTTTATAACGCTTCATATTACGATTACTTTCCTTTGAAAATGAGCAACATTGATTTCTCCCTACCCCACAATGTTTTGCTATCATAACTAAAATATATAGTATTATCGTTTCCCTATAGAATTCATCCATAGGTATGATAAAATTATAATCGAACAAACAATCATAAAATTTGAAAGTTAGTTGTCAAATTTACCCGTACACTCCATTTGATCACAGCCCCTAAAGGTCGGGATTGGAATGAACCTTCAGGACCTGACTGACTGGAGTTTAGTTTTACGCCGCTTTTAGTAATATTCCAGCAATATCAAGGAGGCGAAATGCTATCTTAACACATTGTGCCTGCGGGGAATCGAACCCGGGTCTTCGGCGTGACGAGCTCAACGCTTTAACCATCAGGCTACCCCACCGCCCTGAACCTTCTGTAACCCATGCTTGTCATAAAGGTGACTAACGGGATCGGGCCATCAGGCTCGCTGGCGGTTGACACATACCATCAGTTCCCAATTGCGCAGATCGATGCTCATGCTGTTGACCACTGGATTGTTGACCACTGGATTGTCTGGTCAAGACTCGATTATTTACAGACCGCCGCCATATAGCTGGAATATTGCTGAGTGAGACGTAAAACCAAACTCACTCACTCACTCACCACTTGATCACTGATGCTATAAGAGCACTCGCTTCGCAAAAATACGACAAATGCAAGGAGGGTGGTGTTACAAGATCTATTTATTAATAACGGCAGCACGAGGTGTACATGGTACATGCAAAATCTCTTTTTTCCTTTTTTTTCTTTAGCTAAAGGTCAGATGTTACACATGCGATACATAAGTACATACATAAGCGGTGTGTTACACTACTTCTATGTGATTCCAAAAATGCAAAATCTCAATATACTACAAGCGGTCGATCGAAAGCAATTTCCATGTGAAGGAGTTTATCCATATAATTAAATGACGTCACGAGAAATCAATCATTCATGTCAGTGACAGCGGTGCGATGAGTACCGGAAATCCATTTTAGTAAGAAATATTTATACATCTAGACAACACGTGTCTAAAGCTTGATTATAATAACATGACATTATGACAGTGTCTTTGATAACAGGACATTTCTTCTCCGACATGGTGATGTTGTCTACTACAAGTGTGTTGGCATTCACCGCCATGACCACCTTAAGCAAGCCTCAGTGCCTTGACAATCGTTGCTTTCTTCTCTGTTGTCATTTTGATGTCCTCTACAAGTCTCATAATGACAGAGTGGGTACTCAGTGGCGTGCTAAGAACCCCGAACATCGGCCACAAGGGTTGACTTGTGTCTACCCTGTCAAATGTACCCATCGCTTCGTTCTCCTTCACATCAATGAAGACAATCTTCTTCCTGGCGTCATCATAGGCAACACCGTAGTGTAGGTCGTGTGTCCCTGTTTCGTTGGGCATGGCGTTAGATAGATGTATCGCATCATCATCACCCACCTTGATTTCCCTGTATATCCCCTCGCGATAACGAGAGTGGGCGACTATCAAACTGTAGGCACGGAGAACGACCGGCTTTGTAATGATCCATGTCCCGCACGTCATCAGCAAAGACACCAACCTCCAGGATGTGGTCGTTCGATGCGAGTTTTTGTTCAGTGTGACCTTTATCTTCGTCTCCCAGTAGTCAACATATCTAGAATGTGGGAGGGAGATAGTGCTGCATACGCCCTGGTAATTCGTCAGCCTCCCTCTTAATTCAGACCAGGCGTCCGACCTACTGTTGATTAAGTCCCCTTCTCTGTTGATGTGTGCGTAGTCAAGGTTTATTTTATCTGTGTCATACTTCAGATGTATACCTGTAAAACATAAATGTGGTTTAGATGCTCATGATGTCAGTCACTGGATTGTCTGAATATTTCCAAACCGCCGTCACATAGCTGGAATATTGCAGAATACAACGTTAAACAACAAAGAAACGAGCAAAATATAATCTTAAGAACAATCTAAAATAACAAAACAAAGCGTAAAGGTCAGTTTTGGTCAGTGAACCATTTTCCAAGCTGTCCGCCTTTGGTGTGTCTGACCCAAGTTTCATTTTTGGTAAGTCTATTTGTTATATACAGGATACTAAACGACATTCCGTGTAATACCATTTTTATTAAACGAGTTAATGATTTGGTATGATGCTAAATCTTTCACGAGTTTAATAAAAATGGTGTTTCGCGGAATCGAGTTTAGTATTCTGTTTATTACTCATCAACATAAATTTACAGAAGGTGCCCTTCTGTGTGATGATTCTCAGCTTTCTGCGAGTCAACCAAGGCCTAATACCATTGTGGCAAAGGTATAAGCAGTGTGACGTCATAGCTGTAAACCATTATGACGTCATATGCCTGGCGGTATTACACTAGCGTAATATAGCCGTAAAGATATTACACCGTAGTATCTCCCACGGGCGGGTAATAAAGATAGAATTTAAAATTTACTGGCCAGGACCAAAACAGAAGTTCGCAATATCAACCAGTTCGCTTTAAGCGTGTTCGTAATAAACGTAGTTTATCGTAGAGTTTATGTCCTCAGCGCTGAGCACCACAAACCTCAATTATGATGCACCAGAGTATTCAGACGAGGTCATGACATCACTATGTCATACTAAACCGGGTGTTAAAATTTCATGAGACAGATTATTTGTTATTGTATGACATGCTACTGTTTCCGACCCGTCTTGATAATGCTGACCATCTACTGTATCCCGACATGCCTCGCTCATAACCGTGCTCTGCTCCCCAAATGAGCCACGAGGTCTTATGACACAATGATAAGAGTAAGTGATAGAATTTAGTTTTAGGCCGCTTTTAGCAATATTCCAGCAATATCAGTAACGGACACCAAAATATGGGCTTCACACATTGCACCCATGTGGGGAATCGAACCGGGGTCCTCGGCGTGACGAGCTAACGCTTTAACCACCAGGCTATCAGACCGCCCCCAATGATAAGAGCTTGGCATGGGTGTGCGTTCTTAGGCGTAACGCGTCAATCAGTATCTTTATATAAGACCATGAAACGTGTACATCTGCAGAGTAACATCACTGCTTCCTGATGGTGGTTTCTGCTCTAATTCATATTCACTCATTTCAGTAATTTGGATTCTAAACAAAACATAGTCGAGATACAGCAACAGCATTGGAGAGAGAACTTTGTTGTCTGAATCAGTGATAACAGATGAGTGTCTACTAGACTGGTCACATGTTGTACCTCGTTTCCGAAAGTTACATTCAGTTTATGTTGCAGGGCGTGAAATAATTATACGGGTGACATTTTCGCTTTGTCAGCTTGCTGACGGTGTTTGCCTCTGTGGTCATGTGGACGAGGCATCTGACTTCCGATCAGAAGATCCATGGTTCGAATCCCATCACGGGACTCAGTAGCTTTATAGCCGTTGAGACAGGATAGTAAACAGTGAGGTTACATATTGCTAAAGATCCCAGTTAAAATCAATATTTCCAAACCGCCGTAACATTGCTGGAATATTGCTGAATGCAATACGAACAATATGAAAAACTCAACCAAAAACAAAGCGTGAAGGTCAGTTTTGGTCAATGATTGGTTATGTACAGGCCATAGATCCCGTGATCTGATTCGAACCTTGGACCTTCTAATTGGAAGTCGGATGCCTCGTCCACATGACCACAGAGCTAAACCCCGTCATCAATGTCTGATGTCTGTATATTATTTCAAGCCCTGATACTAAAACATCGGATCTACTGACTGTAACATTCTGAAAGGAGGTACAACAAATAACCAGTCTAGCAGACTGATTCAGAAAACAAAATTCTCTCTAGGATGTAGTTGGTGTGTCCCATATATGAATTACTAAAATAAGCGAATATTAATTAAAGCAAAACAAATGCAGGAATCACAGAGATGTTTCTATACACGTTTCATGGACTTATATAAAACAGACAGATGAACGCTTCACATCTAAGAATGAAGAGCCGTGAAGGGATCATCTCACTGGGCCTGAAGGTCTAGTGGTTAAAACATTCACTCGTCATGCAGAAGACACGGGTTCGATTCCCCACACTGTTACAATGTGTGAAGCCCATTTGTGGTGTTCACCGGTGTGATATTGTTGGACTATTGCTAAAGGCGGCGTAAAACTCAACTCACTCTTATCACTGTGTCGTATGACCGCATTGCTTGATTCGGAAGCAGGTTGCAGTTATAGAACAGACTCGCTGGGATACAGTAGATGGTCAGCACTTACAAGACGGGTCAGAGATAGCAACATGTCAGTTTATAATCCGGGTCATGAAATTGTAACACCTAATGTAGTATCATTCAGTGATGTCATGGTCTCTTCTGAACATTCTGGTACATCATAATTGAGGTATGTGATGATGTCTGTTCTCTGTTTTCTTTCTGATACGAAACTGACAATGACCAACAGGAACTGAATTGCTGGTATCTTAGGACAATTGTACTTATTAACATGGAATGTACTAGAGTGAGTGAGTGAGTTAAGTTTTACGCCGTTTTTAGCAATATTCCAGCAATATCACGGTGGGGGACACCAGAAATGGGCTTCCCACATTGTACCCATGTAGGGAATTGAAACAGGGTCTTCGGCGTGACGAGCGGACGCTTTAACCACTAGGCTACCCCACCGCCCGAAATGTACTGAAGGGAATAACCATTAACGCTTTGTTTTGACACGAACCTTCCCAGTCCAAGTATGAAACCGAAAGGCGCCGGCCAAGAATGTGCAAATCATGCACGTTTGGTTAAATGTTTATGCCTTATTAAGTCTTCAACTACTGCTCGACGTTGGGGGCACAAGCTCTACAGTAAACCACGTTTATAACGAACTAATGTTTTGGTCCCGGCCACTAAATTTGATATTCCATCTATATTGAAAAGTCCTGTCAAAAATAAAACTTGGATTAGACACACCGATGGCGGTCAGCTTGAAAATGGTCCCTGCCTTTTAGACAGGATAACAAACAGTGAGGTGACATATTATTCAAGAACCGTGGAGATCCGGGTTAGAATTGGTCTTCACTAAACCTGTGTTCGTCGTAATTGGATTGAGTGGTCAGACACATGTCATCGCATTCCTATTTCGGACATCGATGCTCTTGCAAACGACCACTGGATTGTCTGGTCCGGACTCGATTATTTACAAACGGTTGCTGGAATATTGCCGATTGCAGCATTAAACAGTAAACAAACAAACAAACAAACATGTTACAAAGACCGGATACTTGTACGTCGATGTCTAGCAGATGTCTAACATAATGAACATTCTTATATGAATACTTTGGGTGGTTAAGGTAGCCAAACCCACCAAATCACCTCCATGATGTGACAATAGTTTCTGACGCGGTAGTTTAAGCATAGATGGTAGATTATGAACATACACTTCAGCCCCATCGACTTGTCCAAGGCGTCTGGTTTCAGCAGGTGAACGTCGCTCTCGGCTCTCTTCTCGATGTTTTCGTTCTCTTTGCCGACCTGATACGATAAGCCATAATCGTAAATTATTATATGTAAGTATGTATGTCGGGACATATGGAGAGGTGTTAGGTAGGTGACTGGTAGGCAAAAAGAATATAAAGTAATAATGTTGAGAATTAAACTTGACAAAGGGCACACGATGTACCGAATAGAACTTATAGTCTACTGCCATAGCGATGTTCCTGGATTCCCTTACAATGGTCTCACAACGTTATAGGGCATATGGCGTGTAGCTATAATGCTATATTAAATAAATTGTTATCCACTGTGCCCACTTTGTCGTCAACGAACACCTCTAAAATAACTGATGCTACCATGCACTTCTGTTTGATAAAGTGAATGTTTGTAAGTCATGTCAGCCTGTTAATTCTGGTGTTTAGCTTGCAAGTATTTCGATTTTGTTTTTGTCTCAGTCAATGTTCCTCTTCAGTTTTGCGATGTGCTGAAAACTTTGGACAGGTAATTATGGCCATGTACTTCTGGAAACGGATTTAATTGTTTTAGATCGTTGTCTTACATTGTAATTGATTTTAGTACATTTAATACTTTGTAGTAATACCTATTCTCTCATACGCCCTTCTACAGGGTTATGATACATTATATTATTTTATTTACCAAGTGCAGGTTGTTAAGTTTGGTTTCCACTTCAGCCACGGAGTCATCTTCAGTTTTAGCTTCCTCTGAAACAACGCAATGATGTAAGTAAAAGCATCAAAATCCGTTATACATCCACAAGAAATCTCGATTGTAAAATTCCCAATATGTTATGAGCAAGTGTTTATAAATTGTGTGTACGCTAAGTATTTAACATAATTAACACATGTACATGTTGCTAAGAATAATGTGTAACGTGTTTTATTTGGGATTACACTTTCTGAGTAAAGTACAAATTTTGTTAGATTGAGTCCATCCGTGATTTGAACCAAAACTCTCAGAGTCAGGCACCTAATCACATAAAGTCTGCGATCTAACCCACTCAGCCATCGCGGTTTCCATAAAAATGGAAGTATGACAACTAGTATTCACGTACCTTGTGTACCCCCGGACAAATGTAAATTGACATCGTTTCTAAGGTCGAAGGCTATGAATACACAATGCTATTTTGAAAGTAGTCCAATGCAAGATTTGGGATGACACTTCTTAGTTTTCTAGATTCAACCCCAAACAGTTCTTGATTCATCTGCAATTCACTGAGAAATTGTAATCCAAAATATAACACTGTGTAAATATAATTGCAATCCAATATAAAACACTATGGAAAGGTGTGTAGTAACAAGAATATTGTGTCTGTAAAACACTATCATGGAACGGTGTTCCAGATCCACATGGGCACGAAA